GTGTAGAAAATAATTTCTCCTATTCCATGTTTTATAGCATATGGCATTCTAGGCTGGAACTATTGCGTTAATGCAGAAAGAGGTATGACTGGCTTAATCTTCACATTTAATAATTCATTTTCCAGGTTTTTGTTGTTGTTCTGCCACTGTTCTTTTCTACCTCAATAATGCTCTTTGTCCACCTCTTTGACATCTTGTTTTGTACATCTTCAACTTTATCATCAAAGTCTTTTTGCACTTCCTTGATGTCCTACTGCATTTCATCAACTTTACTGTTGTAATCTCTATGTATATCTTCAATAGCTCCAGCAATTTTGTCTTCATATAGGTTAATTTTTTATTTTAATTTATCTTTAAATAGTAGGCCTCTTTCTTTTAATTCCTGCCACATTCTTATAATTTTCGGTCTCTCTTTTCTTGTTCTTCATTTAAATTTCCGTCTCTTCCCCGCTGATCTTCTTTTAATTTTGCATAAATTCATTCCTGATATTTTATTTTTATATATCTTTTCTCGTGGTCCTCTTTCAATTTTCTGTCTCGTTTATATTAATATACTCTTAGTAATTTCATCAACTCTAGTAATGTTTCGCTTTCAGTCTTTGACTTTGTGGTCACGATCTTCACAGTTGAAGTTTAATTCAAGTAAAAAATTTCTATTTTAGTTTCACTACAATAATAATTAGTATATTTTTGACACCAGTAGTTCTTTCTTTGGCGAGCTCTTTTAAATTATTTGGTGAAAATGATTCAAAGTACAGTCGACATTGCGATAATAAGTTACATTATATCCTTCTTTAACATTACTACAAACTTGAACACAAACACTTGCTTAAATTGTTGTAGACCTACTAACAAATGACTTTAACTAACGTTAAACAAACCAACTTATTTTGACAAAGTAACCGCGACAAATAACACACTGCCTGGTTCATTCTTTATAATTAGACCACTCTCTTAATTATCTCATATATATGAAACAATATAAAAATGACTTTAAAATATTTTTTAAAACTATATTTATTACTGTTAATTTAAAAGAAATAAATATAACCACAAGTACATAAAAGCATAAAAATACCGGTTTCGTATCATCCAGGATACTATTCAATTTCTACAACAAAGCTTTCTCGAACAAGACCTACTTAACTTCCTGCTTTTTTTCTTAACCTTAAACCTTTATATATATTTTAAACTTCGTCTGTATGTTAAACTATGTAACATTTAATATGCTTTTACATTCATTAATAAAATGTCCCTTTATGACCATTAGTTAAACACAAGAACCCACTGGCTTTTTGCCAGCTAACCACTGCTAAATTCGAGTCCTGAGTTGACTGGATTATGGAACATAGGACCCCTAGTTCGCATTATGTTGCCACAAAAACACATTCTGCATTTGGAGACGTGGGTGAACTGCAAAAATGACGATGAATCCCCGCTATTTGATCAGACAACAGTTGGTGATGGGTGCTGTTGACTAAATTCATTCCCTCTTGTCTATCAGTTAAAAATTAGGGATAGTTATACTGAGTACATGTTAAAGGGTATTTTGTATGTTGTAGTTCTTTATAGGAAGGTTTAATTTTTAATATACTCACTTCATGGTTAAAGATGCATACTGCCATCAGATGCTACTTGAAGGGTTAGACCTCTCCAACTTGAATAATATATAAAAAAGCAATAATGGGTTCAAATAATCAAAAATATCCATACCTGTGATAATAATCCATCCAAGCCACATCTAATGACGTCAAGTGTGAAATTACATAACATAGCATCAGCCTGAATAGATATACGTTCCTCGGTAGTACTATCATCACTACATACATTTTGTTTGTTTGTGTTTTATAGAATTTTGCACAAAACTACACAAAGGGCTATTAATGCATAACTGTTACAAATTTTAGTCTGATAAACCTGAAGGAAGGCAACTAGTCAATATAAATTACCTCCAATTCTTTGACCAGTTTTGTATGACCAAACAGTAGAATTTGATCACCACTCTAATAGAACAATCCTGGCTTCGAAGTACACAGTGTATTTTTGCAGTAAAAGGGTGCAAAACATGAATCCTTGAATTCACAGTTTAGACACACTAAAGACTAAGCCATGCTTGTCGCTCATTACATCAAATAATCCCAAAACGTAAGTAACTCGGACAAAAATGTAATTACAGAGTAGTAGTGGATTATTTACCTAGTATTAACTCATTAATTGAACAAATTTATATTTTTCTAATTTTAATTATTGATATTTTCATATACTGTTTAATTCATTCCTAGTCATCAAACTTTATATTAATCATTTTAGCGTCGTACTTAACTTTTACGAATAATAATCATTATTTAAGTTAGTAAATTGCATATTATTTGTGATCTTTCATATAAACGTGCAGTGGTTCTTATTATAGATTGACAACAAGGACCGAGTTGACTAAATATTACATATCTGATAGACCACAATCTTAGTAGTGTAGATTTAAAAGATACGTATAGTATTAACATATAAGCGATCCCTTCCCGCTCTAACAATTCGAGATGATTACTTAAGTCTTTCAGCCAGTCGCGTTGCACTCAGCGAGACTCCTGATGTAGGAGTATGTTTTAAATACAGAATAAACTTTGTAATTGGACAAGTAATGGTATAAATAACAGAACCGTTCTTCATCTATTCCCATTGCAGTCTGGTTATATACTGATAACGAGATTAGATGACGGCTGAGACTGAGAGCTCAGACAAGTAATATTAATTATTTACCAAACTGGCATTGAGGTATACTGCTAGGGTTAACTACTTTCTGTTGGTTATTTTGCTGGAGTTGTGACGGGTTGTGAGGGCTAGTAATTTTATTGATTATCGTACTACATCAAAACAGTTAACAGAATTAGTGTTATCTATTGGTTACTATGATTACATTGAAACAGGTTATCATGGGTAGTTCTTTGGTACTTGGCATCGATGAAGATTATTATGGTTAACATTTGCTAATTTCGAGATAGGTTGGTAGGGTTAGTATTATTTCATTGGCTACTTTGCTGGTTTCGATATACTGTAGATACTTTTTATCAAGAACAACTTTTGGCCAGCTAGCCTATACCAAACGACTGGAGAATGGTAGAGGTTATATCTTTGTCATGTGACATACTGTAATTTTCGATACTAAAAATAACTACTGAACCACACGTGTTTGAGGCTACAGATGTTCCTGGATTTTCAGCCTGTGTTACTGTAACGAAGAACGTATCAGGTATATACACGATTGTTTGTTTGTAATGAATTTCGCGCAAAGCTACACGAGGGCTATCTGCACTAGCCGTCCCTAATTTAGCAGTGGAAGACTAGAGGGAAGGCAGCTAGTCATCA